TGCCACTATGAACATCGATGTGATTTTGAATTCTTAATAGCTGTCCAGGAGTACTTACACCTTGGGATGAAACAGTGCTTTCATTGAATTTGAAGGTGCCATTCTCCCTAATCATTTTGATGTCCTTATTTCATTGAATTACTGGGAAATAAATAGTTACCATATCAGCAGGAATAGTAGGCTAGCCAGAGCTGTTATGTCAATATTATAATATAAGAGTCTGAAGTTTATTTCTCCTTGTCTTTCCATCCTTAGTACATTAGTACTACCTTAAGGAAACTACAGCATCCAAAATGAGATGGAGTTAAGCCATCATATATTTGTTTTCCTTCCATGGGTGTTGAATACTGAAAGGAAAATGGATATTCATATACAACTATTATTCTTGACCCCAAATTTCTTTAAGTGAATAAAGGATACTTTTAAAATTGTTTTAGGGTTCATATAATATCTTTATATTTTGACCCTCTAAAAGAAAGTGTTTTTTTTTTTTAAGAGAGAGAGAGAGAGAGAATTTTTTTAAATATTTATTTGTCAGTTTTTGGTGGACACAACATCTTTATTTTATTTTTATGTGGTGCTGAGGATCGAACCCAGCGCCCTGCACATGCCAGGCCAGTGCGTTACCGCTTGAGCCACATCCCCAGCCCCCAAAAAACAAAGTTTTTTAATGACTACATTATTCTCTTACAATATTGACTGTTATTCTAAGTTTTTCTTGGACCAAATATTTTGATTTAAAGGTTAGCTTCTTTCATTGATAATCAGAAGGAATACATTTAAAATTTTTTTTTATTGGTTGTTCACAACATTACAAAGCTCTTGACATATCATATTTCATACATTAGATTCAAGTGGGTTATGAACTCCCAATTTTTAAAATTTTAATCATTCAAAAGTCTAATGTATCCAATTTAATTTTATGGGAATTATAATTTAATGATACACAGCATTTATATGTAGATTTTGTTTTGTGTATATATTTTAAAAATCATAGGAATTATCCTGTATTCTTTGCCAGTTTTTTTTTATTTATTTTTTTAAATCAGTGGTCCTACATTCATTTGGTTTTGCTAGTTCTTAATAAGTTTTTTTTTAAAGAACATGTTTTATGTGTAATTCTTATTTATTTATTTATTTATTTTAGTTGTAGATGGACACAATATCTTTATTTATTTATTTTTATGTGGTGCTGAGGTTCGAACCCAGTGCCTCACATGTGTGAGGCAGGTGCTCTTCCACTGAGCTACCACCCCAGCCCAATATGAGTAATTCTTGTCAGTTTCTGTTGACATGAGATTTTAAAATTTGTTCTTAATATGTTCTTTGATGTTAGTGGGTCTATTAAACCAAAAATATATTATCTTTTATTTGCTAGTCTTTTAAAAAAACAAGTTAAAAAAATCATACTTTATAGAAGTGTCATGAGAACATCACAACTGTTGGAGTTAAGAATATTTTTTCTTTGAAAATAGCTATGAGTTTGAAGCATAATTTCAAAAGAAGCAATTTCTCTGTTTCATGATAGTAGTAGTTATAGCAATTTTTTTTCATTTATAGCTCTATAAACTCAACTTGGCATTAGAAATGATCCAAAACATACAATAAATGTTAATTTAATTCTTTCTTTACATTTCAACATTTATGGGCTAAAGGAGGAAATCTTTACGAAGCACACTGGAAAGAGCAGTCAGATTACCAGAAGACAGCTTAGAATGGGATGTCAGGGACATAAAGATTTAGGGTCTTCTAAATAAATCTGAATCATAAACTACTGGAGAGATATTAGAGAGTCTTCTTAATTTTATCTGTTCCTCACTTCCTTCCATGGGTGTTGAGTACTAGAAATTGTCTCTTTTTGAGCACTGCTATCAGCAGCTTCTCATTAGCCTTAGAAGCTTTCCCCAACCACTTTTTGTTTTTAATTCCTATAATAGTTTGTCTAGTGCTAGAATTTTCTTTAGTCATAGGAAATGTATTCTTGTGCCTGGACTTGTTTTATTCAAGTTTAAGGTTATGAAATTTATCTGTATCTCATTTTTTTTTGTTATTGCCGTGTGGTAATCTTTTGTATGAATACATTCAGTTTGTTTATCCACTCACCTGTTGATGGACATTGGGTCCTTTTTAGGTTTTTATGATTGCTAGAACATTCCTGCTGAGAGTTAATGCAGTAAATGTGCTATTGCTCAGCTCTTGTCTATCTTCAGGAGGATTAGCTTGTGTTACTGATCCTTGACCAACTCTTAGGAGCCTAGACCTTGCTATGTTTCGTGTGCTACTAATTGGTAAGGTGTTTTTTTTACAATGGGATAAGAAAACATGTGGTACCACCTTGTTTAAATTGTTTTTGAAAACCATGATTTTTGGTGAACTCTTTTTTTCTTTCTTAGAGTCTGTAGTTTTGGTAATTGTACTCAAAACAGATACTATATTATAAGCCTCCAATAAAAGTCCTAGATTCCAGAACTCAAGCAGGCTTCCCTGAGTGGAAACACTTTGCATATATTATTGCACTTATCACTAGAGTAATAGAATTGTTGGGTCATAGAGTAGGTGTTTATTGATCTTGATAAGAAACTACTAAACAGTTTTCTACTGTGTTGTAACTTTTTACATTTCCACAGGAAAGTATGAGAATGTTGGCTGTTTTGTTTCTTGTTAATTCTTGGTACTGTCAGTTAATTTTAACCATTTTAGTAAGTCTGTATTATCTAATTATGGGTTTTTATGCTTTTCTGATAATTAATGGTAATGAACACCTTCTTAAGTGTTTATTGGCCATTGTATGTATCTTCTATTGTGAAGCATCGTTTTAAGTCTTTACTTTTAAAAATGGATTTTCTTTTTTTTGTTTTGTTTTTGGATGAAGGTGCGTATTTATTGGTATGCAAGGTGCTTCATAACATAGTCATAAGCCAAAGAATCATATTTCAGGACAGCAGCTACTATATGACAAAAAGAGTTGCTTTTTAACTATAAGAATTTGTTTTATCCCTGTCATGTTAATTGAATATGATGGTAACTTATGCAATTAGAAGATAATTGTGTTTTATAAATGGCCTCCAGATAAATAAGATAGTGTGAGCAATTATTGAGATCATATTTAAAACTTCTATAACTCCTGCAGTTCTTCCTTCCAATGGAATAAGTAACTTGAGATTTTATCATGTATTAGTAACAAATGCTTTCTATTTTTTTCTTTTTATTGTGGCAAATTAAGCACAACAAAAATGTGTAGTCAACCATTTTATGTATATACTTCAGTGGTGTGAAATACATTTATAATGTTGTTCAGCCATCAACACCACATTTTTATAAATATTTTTATCTTGTAGAACTGAAACTCTATACCCATAAAAACAGTAACTCTCCATTCTTTTCTTCCCCTCAACTTCTGACAAGTACCATTCTGTTTTCTGGCTTTATAATTTTGACCTAAGTATCTCATATAAGTGTAACCATATAGTATTTGTCTTTTTGTGATTGGATTATTTTACTGAGCATAAAGTTTTCAAAGTTCATCTGTGCTGTAGTTTGTGTTACAGTTTCGTTGCTTTTTAAGGTTGAATAATATTCCTTTTATGTGTATGCTACATTTTGCTTCTCTGTTTATCCATAAAAGGATGCTTAATTTTCCAAAGGTATTGTGAATAATGCAGCTATGAACATGGTTATATAGGAAAATCTGAAACCCTGTTTTTTGTTCTTTTGGCTTTATACTCAGAAGTGGAATTGCTGGATCATGCAGTAACTCCTCCCCCCCCCCCCTTTTTTTTTTTTTTTTTAAAGAAAACATTATACTGTTTGCCATTTTATGTTCCCACCAATACTACACAAGTGTTCCAGTTTCTCTGCACAGTTGCCAACATTTGTTATTTTATATTTTTAATAGTAGCCATCCTAATAGATGTGAAATGATGACAAATTTTTTTTAACAAAGGAATACAATATTTACCATTCTGTAATTGGTTAATATAATTATACTGGTACTATTGTTTTTCATGAACTTTATATGCAAGGAAATGTTAATACCTAGACTTCTAAAAAACAACTTTTTTACACTTATTATATCCCAAAGAAGTTGTTTTGGTTGTATTTCTTGTCTTTATGTGTGGTATTGAGGATTGAACCCAGGGTTGCTTTACCACTGGGCTTACATCCCCGACCCATTTTTTTATTGTTTTAAAATTTGAAACAGGGTCTTGCTAAGTTGCCCATGCTGGCCTCAAATTCACAATCCTTCTACCTCAAATTCTAGTCACTGGAATTACAGTGTTGTGCCACCACACCTGACATTTATGCTGGTTTTAATATTAAACAATATATCTTTCATTATTCCAGTTTTTAACTTAGATCACTATTGAATTAATTTGATTAGTGTCTATAAAAGTATCTCAAATCTAACATTTTAAGGTAGAAAAATAGTAATTATTGTCAGTTAACTTAGAATCTAATTTTACTGTTGTACTGCTTTTCTTCTTGTTTTGTGTAAGGTCAATTTTATAATACTGCATATTTTAAACTTAGCATGGGGAAATTATTTATATCAAAAGGACAGCAATATTTATAGCTGTTGTTTTAACTTGCCAGAGTGGCAAATGTTGGGTCCCTGTGATCAATTTTAAGTTGGAATGAATGCAAAAATTTGTTTAAATGAGATAGTTTACAGGAAGTTCGTAGCACTGTGGTTAGCACATAGCAAGAGCTCAGTGGTTACCTACCATATTTGTTGTTGGTACAATTATTTTAATTTTTTGTTATAAATTGTCCCATAGTTAACTTGAATTATAATATATTATTCTAATAGTGGTATTGATTTCTTGAGATGGAGGACAGCAAAGGCTACTTGAAAATCACATGTACAAAGTTATGAATACAGGAAATCAGATAGGGAAGTAAATTTTGGTAAGTTGATATATATATACATGCAGACATATAGTTAGATAACTGAATGTGTATGTATTAAGTAGAACTCAGTTTATTATTTGTTTCCACAGCTTTATATTCTGTTATATTGTTCTGTGTGTTCTTCTGGATTCCTTTTGTCTACTTCTACTATGAAGAAAAGGATGATGATGATACTAGTAAATGTACTGTAAGTTATCTCTACTTTAGAGGTCTAATTTTAGTTAAAAAAATATTTTCTTGTTTTACAAAGATGATATGACTCCATTTTAGTTTATTCTAGATCAGTGTTGTCTAGTAGAAATATAATATTAATCCCACGTGAAATTTGAAATTTTCTAGTAGCGACATTAAAATAAATAAAAAGAAAATTAATTTTAATTAAACATGGTAGTTAATGTTTCCCTTATTATAATTTCAAAATAGTCAAATTATATTATTAATAAGATACTAAATTTTTTTTCACACCAAGTCTTTGAAATTTAGATTACAGCAATTTAACCAGCCACATTGTTCAGTAGCCACATAATGGCTTGTGTCTGTTGTTTTACACAGAGAAATTCGAAAGTAAACTTTCCTGTGAAAATTGTGTAGTAAATATTTTAGGCTTTGTGTCTTCACTATTCAACTCTGTCATTATAGTGTTAAGTATCCAGAGACGATACTTAATGAACATTTTGTGATGCATTGAAAAAGGAGTCAGGACATGGTTTGCTGACCCTTGTTCTGGGTTATAAGGAAGGAACACTTGCAGGTAGTTCAGACTAAATGACACTGAAAACAGAAACCTGATAAATATAGCACCCAGATGTTTCTAAAAGAGCAGACTAGTATCACTTAAGTATTAGCATAAAATCCCTAGCTATAAATATAATTGTGAGATGCCTTAAAAATATATTGATGATGCTGGGTGCGTTAGTGCATGCCTGTAATCCCAGTAGCTCAGGAGGCTGAGGCAGGAGGATTGCAAGTTCAAAGCCAGCCTCAGCAAAAACAAGGTACTAAGCAACTCGGCCGCTGTCTCTAAATAAAAATACAAAATAAGGCTGGAGATATGGCTCAGAGGTTGAGTGCTTCTGAGTTCAATCCCTGGTACCACCCCCATACACACACCCACACACATTGATGTTGTATAACCAACTTAGTTCCATCTCTAGATTGCATGGATGGTTTAGAATAAAAAATCTACTATTATGTATTAGTTAATAGGTCAAGGAAGAAATTGTATTTTGAAAGGAATTTATCAAAATAAAACACTTTTTTAAAATTTAAGGCAGGGAAAACAGTATAATAGGAATAAATACCGAGTTACAGAAATTTGTTTTGTACTTTGTTTTATTTAAACACAAAAATATATTAACTCAAAAACCAGCATCATGCTTAATCATGCTTAAAACCTTAATAGCATTTAGTGTTAAGATTGGGAGCAAGTAAATCAACATGTTATTTATATTTTGCATGGACTGGGGATTAAACTCATGGTTGCACATGCTACGTGAGCATTCTACCACTGAGCCAAACCCCAGCCTATAAATCAACATTTTAAATGACTTCTAGAGTTACAAAGAATGTGGCATATTAGATGTTTATTTAAAGAGAGTCAAATGATTATTTGCAGATACTATATAACTTCATATTTAAAATGTGTGTAAGGTAAAGTGGCTAGTTACAAATTAAATAAATCTCAGTGAGATAAATGTTGTCATTTTCCCCAACCTTTGTTTGATCTGAGGATTCTCCTTAGTTTTTTCCTTAATCCCCTCTCCCCTCAGGAATATCTTAGAAATAGAAATGAGAACTTACCATATGAAACAATAATTTAATTTTTTAAAGGTGATTTTTAGAGACTTCATTAGTCTGACATGAAAAATAATGTTCATTCTCAGTGATTTAACTTTGAGAAAATTAACTTTTCTATTCATGTTCATAATGTCTGGCTTTCTGGGGTATTTTTTGTTGTTGTTCAGTTGTCTGGATTACGTTTTGGATAGCAGGCAAATTAAAACCTTTAAATTTCCACTTCTGATTTTATGTTCTTGTTTAATCCTATATGACCTATATTGCTTAGGGTAGATTATTTAACTTCTCTGTGCCTCGGCTTTCATTTCTCTAAAGTAGGAATGAGAGTACCTTAGAATTAAATTGGTTAACATATGTAAAGTTCTTATAATAGTGCTTGGCAGGGTATATGTTACATATATATTTAAAGAATATAAATATATAACTATATATAATATTTACATTTTATGTGTACATATGCTTGTGCGCATATGTGTACATTATTTTTTATTATTTTAATTCATTTTGATGATTTGGGAAGGGGCATTGTAGGTTCTGATTGTTGCTTGTTTGGGGGAATATTTTATTAAATATTCTGATAATTTTACTAAAGATGCTCACTAGATAATAAACTGCTTTCAGTATTTTGCTTTTACAAGGGCCTAACCATTGAAACGATTTTAAAATCTTGTATATTTTGTAAAGATATAATGATCATTTTTCTTTAAATGTTAAGTCTTTTACCCAACTGGCAAAATTTTATATTGTTGATTCTAAATGCATATTTGACTTGAAAGTATAATTATACTGTTGCAAAAAATTTTTATGTAACAGCTTACTAAATGATATATTTTCCCCCGGCATCTAGCAAATTAAAACAGCACTCAAGTACACTTTGGGATTTGCTGTGATTTGTGCACTTCTTCTTTTAGTTGGGTAAGTCTTAATTTTTTTATCCTGACAATGGAAATATAATTAGTTGAATAATAATAACAAAATGTTCATTCAGAGAAATCTAGGAAAGCAAAACAAAATGTGAAGAAAGAACAAATCACCATTTATACCACCACTGAACAACATAGCCCAAATCAACATTTTTCTCTGTATTGTGCCACATACACATATTTAATGCTTAGATGATTGCAGGGTGCCTGTCCCCACCTTGCATGCACCCTCCATGTTTCAGTTTTCCAAAAATGTGATTATATTTTATTCATTTCTTGATAATCTATTTGTTACACTATAGTGGGTACCTATTTAGGAAAGTAAGTGTGGGTCCATCAATTTTGTCGATATTGCAGTCCTTTCTTAGTAAAGCAGTTTTTTGAATGATCTTCTAAGGTATGACTATGTAGACATTTATGATGTTTGCAGTTTCTTTTTATTATAAACAACACTGTGGTAAAAATCCTTGTCTCTACATCTTTATAGATTTGACCCAACAGTCAAATCTTTGTCAATAAGTTCCTTCTTTCGTGGTTCTTCCTTAAGCTTCATACTAATATCAATATATTTTACATGTTTGTTTAGACATTTAAAATTTGTTCTTGTTAATGGCACACATTTATCTTTGTTAAAATAGGTCTAGATTCTTTTTTTATGTTAGAGATACATTAAGTGCTAATAAGCCTTTAAAATTTTATAATTTGGTGTTACAAATTTCAATAATTAACTTTCAATAAATAAAAATTTCATTTATTAAAGGTAATTTGTGCTGAGAATGAAATTGGTCTGTAACTTTTTATAGCTCCAGGAGTTGTAGGAATGCAAGTGTTTTATAGTCTAGTCATGTTTCCAATTCCCTTTGCCTGCCTTTATGTGTCATGAAAAAGAGAACTTATTGAATGGATATTTTTTTAACGGTTTTGCTATTTATTTTAGCTACCAAATATACCTTTTAAAATCTTTTTTGGCTTTTAAAGAAAGCCAGCTCTATTTAATGTTAGTTCGCTTTGATAATGTGGAAGTCCCTTGTCTGTAAACTTAAATTATCTAGAACAGGGATCAGCAAACTCTTCATGAGGTATAGATGATAAGCATTTTGGGTTTGCAGTCTGTTTGATCTGTGTGGCTTAACTGTGCTCTCGTAACTCTGAAGTAATCATAGACAATACATAAACACAAGGTATTCCAATAAAACTCTATTTATATAAACACAGGCAGCCAGTAGTTTGGAAATTCCTGACTTAGAACGTGACTGAAAGCCATCAATAAAAATACACATCTTTATAGCAGCCAGAGTAAAAGAGTAGTAAAAAAAGACTAGTAGTGTTTTGGTTACCCAGTGTAGTATTCTTTTCATTACCATATTTGAATGAGCATACATTTAGGTAAAGTGACTGATTAAATTCCTTGAAATTTCCTTGAAGGGGACATGCTATTGTTTCTTTGAATTGGTGTTTATTTGTTTATTTTAGCTGGTAAATTTGAGATAATTTTATTACAAAGATATAGCCTAGATATACTATTCCTATAGCTCATACACTTTTGGAGCACTTGTGTAATGGACGCTGTGCTAAGTAGTAGGGCCAAAAACAAAGTCCTGGTCTCTATTCTCAAGGTTTACCCTGGGAAAACATGCAAATAAATTATTTAAATTATACTGTTTAAGTACTCCAATAATATATATACCAGGTATAATGATGGAGGAACAAGTTCTTACTCTACCTTGTAAACTTGGAAGACCTAAGAGGAAGTAATACTTCAATTGAGATTTGAAGGAGTGTAAATTGGTTGGAGTGTTTGAAGAATGGCATAAAAAGTATGATATGAAGGGAAATATTGGGGAATGATATTGAACAGATTATATATGTGCATGTATGACTATAACAATGAATCCCACTATTTTGTATAATTATAGTGCACCAATACAAACATGTAAAAAAAGTTTTTTAAAAAATATGATGTGAATTTAATTCTTCTAAGAAAAAAAACACACACATCCCCAAACAAAACATAAAGTATGATGTGATGTTCCAAGTATTCCTGTGAACCAGTGGCAGGACATGACATTAGCCAGGTAGGTAGGCTATGAATCTAATATGTAATGTTTAAGAAATTTTGATTTTTATCCTGCCTAATCAGTTGAAAGACAATGAAGATGTACATGTTTGTTTATGTGACTGTAAGAAAGTAAATATGTGTGACCTTGCTTTAAAATTTAAGATACTGTAAAAGGGTTATTTGGAGGTCAGACTGGAGAAATGATACATTAAATGGTAGGTAGGCAGATTAACTACCTGGCCATTGTAATAATTCAGGTGAGAGATGAGGATCAGAGCTAGTATAGTTACAAAGAAAGCAGAAACAGATAAGCCATTTGGAAGATAAATATGACTTGACTTGGTGATTGAATGTAGGAGGTAAAATTCTCATTTTCAGTTCTGCTGAAATTCATCATTTCAATTTCATTAGCCTTTTCTTTGTTTTTTTTTTCCTGAAAAAATAATCTGTATTAAGCTAATTCAGTGAGTCAGATTGGGTGTAAAATATTTTTAGTAAGCAATTTTTCATTTTTATTATTTTCAATGACATAAGGAGAAATTATAATCTTACTAGGTTTCAAGTTCTTATTTTGATCTAGTTTTGTGTCTTCAGAAACTGATATGCGTTTTATTTACTTTTTGAGAAGAATTGAGATTAAGAAATTATCTTTGCTTCCCCTGCATAAAATCCTACTATAACTCTTGATTACTGTGGTGTCATCACCACTTAGTAAATACATGATAATCTTATTAACTACTTCTTCCCTCCTTAAAACAGGTGTGTCTGTATTACATCTTCATTTGACTTCAGTTGCCTTTTTTTTTTTTTTTTTTTTTGTCATGCTGGGGATTGAACCCAGGGCCTTGTGCATGCGAGGCAAGCACTCTACCAACTGAGATATATCCCCAGCCCTCAATTGCCTTTTTATCCATTAGTAAATATTCCTTTTTCTTTATAGATCTTGTATGCAGGGCTGATATTTGGCTAATGAGCAGTAGTTTGTTCTTCCTGATGGTTAAAAGGTTGAAATGCTTCCCTACCAGTTAGCTGCTGTCCTATATTCCTGAGTCTAGTTACTTCACTCTAACCCCACTTAAAGGATAAAGCTTGATTTGTGAAGGTCCTCTAGAATTAAGGCCATACATCTGTGCTCATTGCATAGTGTCTTTGCCTACCAGTTGTTAAATGCTATGAATATTATTGCTCAGAATTTACATCTATTTAGTTGTAATCATTTTGAATTCTCCTTATGGATGTTTCTCTTAATGTACAATGAGAATAGTTTTGGTTTGTTTCTTAGGTTATAAAATCTAGTGTTAAGGTAATTGAAAAATCTGTTTCAAATTTGTGCTTTGGTTTCTGCCTAAAATAATAACTGGTGCTCAAATGTTAATTCTCTGAAGGATTTTTTTTAAGTAAGTATTTTCCTGAAGTCATTCTGAAAATTTTTTGGACCATATAATTTTTTTAAAAGATTGCTTGATCATATGAGGTTTCTTCTACTCTTCATTAAAGACTTGAACTGCTGAATAGCCTTGCTCAGGAGTGTGAACACGAAAGTGTGTTTGCTAGTAGGATTACTTTATTTTTTTCCTACCACTGTACAATACCTTTGATTACCTAAAATTGCATATTCAGACTGAACTTTCTGATTATGAATGCTAGTTTTAGATATTTGCGAGATTTTTATTTTAATAATATTTTAGATGATGTTTTATACAATGTAATTTTTTTCCCACATTCACACATTGGTTATTTCCAACCAACAAATTTCAAACATACTTTCCGGGATATTTAGAAAAAACTGTCTATATAGAAGTATATAAGTGGTTTTTCTTGCTTAGTTTGTATTTCTGTTAATGAAATATTAATACCAAATAAGTTAACATTATAGACATATAGAATGTAAAAGTTATTTAAAAGTTTGTTCTATCTCAGTACAATTATTCCTCTCTTTATTTGATTTTATAACTGGGCAACAAATAATGAACTGCTTTTACATTTATTTTTTGCTCTATATATTTGAGTGGTCACTTTTTTCCCCCTTAAAGTGGTGAGGTTTAAGTCTCAAAGATTAAGACAAGTGTAATAAACTACAGTCAACATGAATAGCTAGAAATTTAAATAACACTCTAATATGTTCTTCCTATTCATCTTTTTATAGAATTGTTAGTAGTTCCAAAGAATAAAGGTTTTTAAAATTAAAAGTAAAATTTTAGAATAATGACATTGTTCTACTTGAAATTTTAATCAGAACAAGATACCTTTATATATTCATAAACTCATCCAGTATTTTCTTTTTTATAAAAGTGGATAGAATTTACATCTTGCTTATAATTAAAACTGGGCTAAGAAGAAGGAAGAATTAGAGTCACTTTTTACCTTACTGTTTGAATTTCAACATATACTATCTAAGGGATACCCAGCCCTTTAATCTCTTGATTACCTTTTGGTTCATGATCTGGGCTCTATAATAAAGTGACCATTTATTTATTTTATCTTCCATTTTTCTCAGTCTAAGCTCTTAGAACAATTCCTAGGACACTAGCTCTCTCTGTTATTTCAATGATTCCCCCTTATCTGTGGACCGAAAAATAAACAGAAACTGATCTTGTTATTTTTATTAAGCACAATATTGAAAGATATAAAGAAAAGAGAGCAAAATGAAACCCCCAATCCCACAATGTTAAATTTACTATTTATTATGATGTATTTCTTGTCTATTATTTTCAATGCATATAAATATACTGAATTAATTGCATGCCTATAGTTTGTTCTACTAATTTAATGCAGAAGATCTTCAACTTTTTTTGTGCGATGCACTATTTTGTCCATCTTAAATTTATAGGACTTTAAAAAATATTTCATGGGGCTGGAGTTGTGGCTCAGTGGTAGAGTGCTTGTGTGAGTCACTGGGTTCAATTCTCAGTACTGCATATAAATAAATGAATAAAATAAAGATCCATCAACACTAAAAATATTTTTTAAAAAATTTTATTTATTATTTGTTTTATTTTACTCACCTTTATGAAAGTATAATTGAAAAATAAGCCAAAATAGTTTTAAGTATAAAAATAAAATATATGGGGTTACAAAGGAAGGTAATTTTACTGAATACTGTAATAAAGTTATTAAAACAAATTATGGTAAAATATATACATAGATAAGAAAATTCTCATACCTCTGTATAAATGGTGCAGATTTATTAGTTATTCAAGGGAAAAGTTGATATTTGTTTCAAAAAACTACTAAAATTGAGTTTCAGACCATTTCTTTTATTCAACATTTTTATTTTTAAAGCAATTTAATAGAGTTATTTTCTGTTTTAGTGCTTTTGTTCCATTGAATGTTCCCCATAATAAAAATTCTACAGAGTGGGAAAAAGTGAAGTTCCTATTTGAAGAACTTGGAAGTAGTCGTAAGTATTCTTTTTATTTTCTTTTTTTCTTCTACTTTTTAAAATCTACCCATTGTAATTTATATATCCTGATCCTTAGGACTTTTCTTTGACAAGTAGCCCATTCTTACATTTTCTATTCTCTCACAGTGAAGCAGCTGAGAAAGAAATCAGGAAAACAATTGCATTTTTAAGAAATCAAGAAAACAATTGCATTCTCTCTAGCCTCAACAAACAAACAAACAATCTTGGGGGTAAATCTAGCTAAAGAGGTAAAGACCTCTGCAGTGAAAATAATTGAACAATTAAGAAAGAAAATGAAGTCTATGATGCAAACCTGTTATCCCACCTGCTTGGGAGGCTAAGGCCATAAGATCATGAATTCAAAGCCAGCCTCAACAAAAGTAAGGCACTAAGCAACTCATTCAGACCCTGTCTCTAAATAAAATACAAAATAGGGCTGGGGATATGGCTCAGGGGCTGAATATCCATGAGTTCAATCTCTAATACCAAGAACAA